AGCAGTTCGAATCCTTTCCCTCCCTTCCCGTCTCTAACCCCCTCCTTCCCTCCTCGAAGGATCCGGGTTATCCGCCCCATTAATATATTAGCCAGGCATAACACAAAGGAAGCGCGTGTCAGCAGAAGGCAGTGTGACTCCTGGGAGAGGCGAGGAAAGCTGGACGGTGCCCTGAGCTGCAGCACGTCTCGTCGCAGTTTGAGCTTGTGAAACCGCCTCCACCTAGGAAAGCTGTGGGGAAGGCGGCGGGCGTGGAGCAGCTTCGGGCTGAGCAGTTGTTGCGTTAGGCCTTTGCAGCCGCGCTGTGGAGTGAAGTACAAGGCTCCGAGGTGGAACTCAGAGAGCGGGAGAACGTCCCCAAAAGTCCCCATTTCACCTGATTCCTCAAAGAAAATCAGTTCTCCAGGAATGCACCATTACACCGGCGCCTGCCTCCTCCCTTGTGCAACATGGGAACTTAGAATTAAAATGTTGCATACACACAAAACAAACCACAGCTGAGTCCCTTATAGTCTTTTCATTTAAGTTGCTTGCGTTTTAAAATAACTCCTTTGGGCGGGGTGTGTGTGTGAGAGAGAGACAGACAGACAGACAGACTATCTGACGCAGGGCATGATTAGACAAGCAAAGGAGTAACTCAATTTTCATGGGAGAGAAGGGGAAGAAAGTTAGCGTTCCAGTTGAGTGCATTGTTCCCTATTTCAGGCAATACTTTAGGGGGTATTTCCAGGTTGTTTTTCTGGGTTTCAGCGATTAAGGGGCCGGGGGAATAAGCCCCTGATGTGTAATCTCAAAGAGTTGAGAAGGAGAAAGTAAACCCAAGGCAAACTCACAGAACTCTGAGTCAAACCTGCAAGCAGCACTGGCGGGGTTCTGAAGTTGATCTGAAGTGATTTGATCAGCACCCCACCCAGATTCTAAAGCCTTCCAGCGCATGTTCTTCCTGGATTCTGAAGAATATTCTGCACTCTTAAGTGACTAGAACAGAGAACCCAAAATATCATGAAGTGGCCTGCAGCTGGAGGGATGCCCCCCTCCCCACTGTGCCAGCTGCAGGGGGGAGCGCCTTCTCACCTGGAGTTTTGTTCTTACAACTGTGTAGTCACCGTGAACATAATGAGGAAGTTAGACAGAAAAAGAAAAAAAGAAAGGTAGCAAGGGAGGATTTCCCCCTTGTCAGTTTTTTAAAGAAAATGTTTATAGCAGGAAAATGCATGCATTGTATAAGTTAACATTGAACTGCACCAGTACTTTCCAGCCCCATATTGATTGCTAGAATGATGACTAGAGGAAAAGAAAAAAAAAAAAAAAAAAAGGTAAAGGCTGCATTCTGAGATGTCCAAAGTTCAAAGCACTGAGCCAGACTGAGAGCTAAAAAGAGAAACACCAATGGAACCATATGGCCTCCAAGTTAACTATTTGAAAGAAAATAAAACAGAATATTAAAAATATCTTATTAAATGTTACTTGAAAATATACCAAATAAGATGAATCAATAGAAAACAAACCTTGCATAAATGGCTACTTTAAAAACAAAGCTTCTACATCCCCAAATGGATTGTATTTCTATCTAGAAAGGTAAAAATCTTCCTGTTGTTTTATTACATTCATACTTTCATGAGTTTCTATTGATGATAATTATTTGGTTTGGAAAAAATTATTTCTAAATTAACATTATTTAATTAGTCTATTGTGGCTTGTAAGTAATCACTCTTTTGCACATAATTTATCTTAAAGTAATCAGGCATTATCTTCACTCTGCTTTGCAAAACATGTTTTACTACAATTCAAATATGTAATTAAAATTTAAATTTTGAAAGTAAAACTTTTACAAATTTATTAAATAGCTATTGAATAACTTAAGTAATTTTCTCTTTTCAACGAGTTGTTCCTCTTGACATATTGAAGTATCACATTAAATACATTATAGCTAAATGTTCTCCAATATTACTGCTAGATCAACAGAAAACCAATTGATCTTGAGGAAAGGTTAATTAATTTGGGCTACAGGTCTTCTACTTTGGTCCGCATTCAAAGGAATCTGTATTGATCACAGAAGTTTTTTGCAAAGAAATTTAATAAGCATTTTTTGAGTAATTGTGATCAGTGTTTTAAAGTGCCCAAACAAGGAGTTTAAAAAACTAATCACCCTAGGAATTTTTTTTCTTCTATGGTTTATTCAAATGTAGTAGACCCTTAAGAAAAATGTTTTTTATACTTCAATGAAATCAGCTGGGTAGCTAGCCTTCAGAAAACGAAAACAGAAGTTAAGAACTTTAATAGGATTTTGTTTGTTTAATCCCTCCTCCCAAATAATTCTCCCCAGTTTATTCTCTTATGAGGGGATCACGAAGGGACAATGTTAAGTTTTATCTTTGATGTAAACATCGTGTCAGCCATCGTGTTGAAAACAGACTCAGCCGCCTTCTACTTGGGAACACTTGTAAATTGTTCAGTTTTGCAGTTTCTGCCAAGCAAAACCGGTGATCTTTCTTTTCTTCTTCCCTATGTCTTTTTATCAATCAAAGAAATATTTCGGGCCAGGAATAAGATGAAAAAAATATTTCAAGTTCTCCTCCCCAGCACTATACTTATTCCCCAAACATTTCTCTTTCTTCCTAAAAGTGTTTGCTCGGTGGCATTGTCAGTGGATCTGAGGGCCTCCGGAGCTTTGCTCTTGGGTCTATAGGAAGATTCTCCTTCTCACTCCCTCCTTCTCCTCCGGAGACCCCTCCCCCAAGTCCAGCGAAATTCCTAAATAAAGCGAGCCGGTGGCCAGCGGCTGGACGGTCGGCATCTCCCTTCCGGCCCTGGTCTGCAGGAGCATCCGAGGCGAAGTAGCAGAGAAACTTGTCTCCAAATGGGGGTGGGGGAGAGTAGGAGGGGGTCGCGGGAAGGCGGCGCGCTCGAGGAAAGTCCCAGCACTCCCTCCGAACCACAGATGTTTTCCTCCTGGCCCTGGGGCGCGGCGCCCCAGCCCTGGGCGATCCGGCGTTTGTGTGTCGGGGTTTCCGAGGAAGGGATTACGCAGCGGGAGCAGCCGCGGCAACGCGGGCGTTGGGGCCGCAGGAGCGGTAACGAGGCGCCTGGCCTTCTTTGTTGACTTTTAGGTCTCGGGCTCAACAGAAGATTTATTCGCTAGGAAGGGAAAATGCCCAAACAATGAAGAACTAACTGCACTTGTCACCTCGAGATGCTTGCGGTCCTGCTCTGCCCCTCTTCCCTGGCAACCGGCTGCCCTGGCCCCCAACCCGCGCGCGTCCTGACGCGCAGGGCGCACCTCGCCTCGCCCAGGGAAGGCCCACCTTCGGGGGAGCAGCCCGCGAGGCGAGACCTGCTCCTTGCGACCCCACCATTCCAGCCTCCCAAGAAGGTCTCCAAAGTGGCCTCAGCATTATTAAGTCCGCCGCGCCTCGCCCCCCGCGAGCCCAGGAAAGTCCCTGCCAAGTGACATAGAGCAAAGGTCGACTCGAGCCTGGCGGGTGAAAGCCAGACGTCGCTATGGCTAATATGTTTTAAAACGAGAGGGGTGTGGGGAAGTGGACACCAGCGGAAGGGCAGCAGGACAATTAAACGATTTAGAGGCAGTGGGTACGATTCGAGGCCCAACAAGCTCACGCCTTTGTGTTACATTTGGGATTTGAATTTGCCAAACTTTACTCACCCGCTGTAAAAATATAGTTACATGAATAACTCCTGGAACTGAAAGCTTTTCCCCCTCTCTCTGGGTTTTTAACGTCCTTCTGAGGACTCCAAATTAGGTTTGAAATTGCTGGAACCAGTATTTTCCCTCTGCTTTCATTAGCTGAAGGGGGGTGTGGGGGGGGCTTCTGGATTTTTCTCAAGTGCTACAAGGCATCCTTCCCTTGGGGAGGCAATTACCCGATAATTAAGGGACTCACACAGCTCTTTTTATCTTGTCTGTGGTGTGGAGTGGGGCGATCAAAGTAAAAGCTGTCCAAGTTCAAGCCCCGCGAAGATGGAGTTCATACACAAGGGCTCAGGCAGGCCAGCCTCTGCTCGGGCTGGTGGTGGTATTGTTGATGTCAATCTGAACGAGACTTACAAAGAAATAGGTGGACTGGAAAGTGAGCCTACTATCAAAGGAGATTAATGATTTTGTGATCTCCAGCAACTGCAGGGGTGTGAAGTTGCATTTAAAAACAAACTTCTTCGAAGACAAACAAAATCATCAGCTTTAACTTCTGGGAAAGATATTTTTAGAAACGATGTTTTAAAACATAGCTCCACAAATTTCAAAATAGCAGATACCCTGAAATTTTCCCGGTGGCACAAAGCTTCTGCAGGAGTGAATTAATTCGCTTTTCTCTGGACCCCTCCAAAGCTACCGCGATGTTAAAGTTTTGTTTCTCTTTTAATGAAAAGAGTGGTCAGGATTCTCGGTTGTAGACAACTTAATTTTATCAGCCACATCTGATATTTTCTCACGTGAATACTACTCAGCCAAGCGAAAATTATACATTGGGGAAGGGGGAAAGGGAGTGAAATTAATAATATTTGATTTCACTGTGGAAAGGCTTAAAAGAAACACAGAAGGCTTAAGCCCATGTCAAAAACTGAAGTAAACATTTCAAGAAATAAAGAATCTTTAAAATCTCAATTCTTGTCATTGTGAATCAATTTATCTACCTACTACCTACTTTTATTGAATTTCATTAACTACTTTTTACTTGCTACATGTTCATAGAATAAACTTAACAAAACAATTTTGTTTAGATGATAGTCCTTTTTTCCATTTATATTTAGTGCCAGACTTTAAAATGTATCATTTTTAGATTATCTATTTGGGCTATAATTAACGAAAATAACAAATTCTTTTTTGTTAACATTTGATTTATTTAAAGTCCTTAACTGCAAATGATCAAGAACATATTCCACGGCTTAAAATTTATCATTTTTGTTACTTAAATCAAAATATTTTAATTACAATCACATTGATAAAATTAACATCTTAATTTGTAATTTTAACCATCATTTAAAGCAATTTCAGCTGTAAAGGAAAAAAAAAAGGATAAACCATGCAATAAATTAACATTGAGAAAGCAAAGAGGAATAATAATGAAACCCGTCTGGCTATACTAACACCATGTCCAACTGTGAAAAGTGCATTAACACTGAATGAAACAAGCACACGATGGCAATAATTAAAATGGTCACAATCAATTGGATTTTGGAATCTTGGACCCAAATTTGAAATGCGCCTCCCTGTAACTTCTCACTCCTCCAACATTGTAATGTTCCCTTTTTTTTTCTTGAAAAAACATTTCTTCAAATGTTATAGATACATAGAAGCTAATTTTATACATGTTATGTGACCTCTGAATGACATGACCATGGCCCTCTGCAAAGCAAGGAGCAGAGTTATTGAGGAGGGTAGTTCTTCAGGAATGGACTCCTGGAGCTCTGTGTGGGTGGAGAGAACAAAGTGGGGGTGTCTTTGTAACTTCTTGGTCAGGCAACTCTTGAAAATACAGCATATATCACCTAGCTATCACTTGTATACGTTATGAAAATACAAGGAGGATGTCTACAATTCTGAGCATGTCATAAACAAGAAGTTCGTACATAGTGTATATGCATATCATTTTAAGACAGCTGCTATCTGAACGTATCTGAAATGAAAGCTGAAAAACAAATGGCTCTGATGTTTATAATTTGCTTCTGTTTTGCTGCATAAGAGCAGTATTGTCCTTAAATACTTTCGAATGTCTACTTGCTTCTTCACCCTTTGAGTTCTTAAGGTTAAGAGTATTGCCATAGACCTGTAAACTCGTGGGAGGAGGGTCGGGGGAGGGGAGGGGGGTGAGCACAAACATTTTACAAGCTTGACCATCTCTCTCCTTTTTTTTTTTTTAAATAAACCCTGTGTGGACAAAATGTGTCTGGAGAGGAAAGAGAGAAGAAAGGGCTAGGGACAAGAAACTAGGATTTTATATATACACTTGTGAATCATTAAACTTTGCAGAAAAAAAAAATTTGTTGGTTTGGGATTGGTTTTCTTTGTAATAATATACACGAGGCTTTTGAGTACAATAACAAAGTAACAGTCTTTTGCACTGGGGGAAAGATTGTGCACCAAAAAAAAAAAAAAGTAAATAAAAATAGCTGGGATTTTATTATGCTGTTGTTGGCTTGGTATGTGTGGTTTTGTTTGCTGTTGATTTTTTTTTTTCTCTCTCTTGCTACCAACAAGGCCATGCCAGACAAACCCCCAGTCCCGTGGAGCTAGGAAGTGTTTAGGACGGGTCTGGAATACACACCTTGGTAGTAGGCCGGCTCCAGGGCGGAGGGCTCGATGGGGCTCCTGGTGGCCACCGAGGCGCTGCCAAGCGGCAGGCTGGCGGGCAACGCGGCGCCATAGGGCGAGTACTGTAGCGCCTGCTCGTATGCCTTGAAGTCCAGCTTGTGCTGCTGCTCCGAGGAGGACATGAGGTTGTTGATGGAGAAGGGATGGTTGAAGGAGTAGTGGGGGTCCCCTTTCAGGTGCAGCTGGGACTCGTGGGGTGCCAGGCCGTGCGCCGGATGGGAGGGGGGCACAGATACCAGCGTCCCAGGCCCGGAGCTGATCGGGGGCGCAGCCGAGGAGGCCGGAGTCTTCAGCTCCGAGGCGCCCCCTGTCGCCGTCGCCCCGCTGTGGTCCAGAGTCTGGGGGCTGGCCGCGGGCCCGGGGGCCGGCGCGCCCTCTAGCTGGCCGGCCTTACCGTGCACACCCCGATGAAGGGGCGAGTCGGCACCCGGGTTGGCGCTCGAGGGGTCTTTGCGGCTCTCAGGGCCACCTTTGGCGCCCCCGGCCCCGCCCCCACCGCCGGCCCCCGGCTGCTTCTCGCACTTGAAGCGCTTCTGGCGGCGCAAGTAACAGCCATTCTCGAACATGTTGCCGGAGTCCGGGTGCAGCGTCCAGTAGGAGCCCTTGCCGGGCTTGTCCGGGGAGCGCGCCACCTTGACGAAGCAGTCATTGAAGGAGAGCGAGTGGCGGATGGAGTTCTGCCAGCGCTGCTGGTTCTGCCGGTAATAGGGGAAGAGATCCATGATCCACTGGTAGATCTCGCTCAGGGTCAGCATCTTGCTGGGCGCCTGCTGGATGGCCATGGTGATGAGGGAGATGTACGAGTAGGGCGGCTTGGCATGTGGGTAACTGCGCTTGAAAGTCTTGGCGTCCGCGCCGCCACCTGCCCGGCTGCGGCCCAGGTTGGACGGCGCGTACGCCATGGGGCTCATGCACGGGTTCATGGCGGCCGCATAGGGACCCAGGCCGTTCATGGAGGCCGCCGGCTGCGCGCCCATGGCGCCCATGCCGCTCGGGCTCAGCGTCGTCCCCATGGCCGTCACGCCGGCCGCCGTCATGCTGTTCATGGCGCCCGCCGAGCCGCCCGGCATGCCCGCCACGGCGCCGGGGCTCAGGCCTGCACCCAGGCCCGGGTTCGCGTAGGACATGTTAAACGAAGCCGGGGTCATGTTGCCACTCGTGGTCATGGTGTTCATGGTCATGTAGGTGTTCATGGAGTTCATGGAGCCCAGGCCCGAGTTCATGTTGCTGACCGGGACGGAGGAGTAGGCCTGGAGCGGAGACAGCGAGTGGAGAGGCCCCGAAGGGCGGGGTTAGTGGGGGGCTCCCCAGGCCTACCCACCCCGGCCAGCGGAAAGCATTTCTACAAAGCCGCAGACCCCCCACCCAGGGCAAACCCTCAGGCGCCCTCCTCAGAACAAGCAGAGATGTTTTGCACCGCAGGGGAAAAGTCCCAGCGCGGCAGGCATGAAAGACAAACGCTCACAGAAAATATGTCCCCAGGAAGATGTGTAATCGCTTTACACGCCAGGCTCAGGGGTCGCCTTCTCGGGGACCCCTCCATCGCCTCCTCTGTCCACGCCAGGTGGTATCCCAGTCTCCACCCCAGACCGGCCTCCGCAAAGCGCATTTTTGAGCAAATCGTGTTTTAAACTCTGAAATCAAAATTAATTTCGGACCCTCTGCTGATTCACTCCACCTTAAAGGTGCGGTGGGTTTGGAGGCACATTCTTCCCGTGCCCCCCTGCCCCCCCCCCCCCCGCAAGAGGGCACCAGCTCTGCATCCATCTTGCCTATGTCTACCAGGCCCAGCGGACCAAGTAACTGCCTCGTTTTGTGCAGGGAGGCTGTTAATTAAACTCTCCGTGATGGAGCAGATCATGGCCATATGATCGTTTTTCAGCAACTGGCTTTACTGTCTTAGCACTATTCGTCAAATGGCGACTTTCGGTTGGTTTAGAGGTGTTTCCTACCTACTTGTAGCAAATGCACTATTAGAAGGGTAAAAGCCAGAAGTTAGGCTAAGTTTTGGGAAAAAATTAAAAATGGATCTACACCAGGAGCAGGGCAGGGAGAGGTGCCTAGTAATATCAATGCACTACATGCATTTGATAGGACCTTACACTTACACCTGTTTAAATCAAATCACTCAAAAACTGGCAGTAATTTCATGACCGATGTCTAGCCCCCGTGTTCGAAAATTTTAATGATATAATTTGTAGAAATAATCATCTATATTTTCCACACACTGACAAGTTACCGCTGATCATTCAAAATCTGACTTTTGACGCTGTAGGAATAGTTTGAATTACAGTCAAACCACAAAATCAAAGTCTATTTATTTTCTCTTAAGTCTACTTCCTAATGCTCTAACATGTAAGAAAATTCTTTCCATAGGGGACTTAAGTGACTGATGGGTCTAGAGCACTGCATGTATATTAAGTCTCAGGACGAATGTTTAAATCGTCCCTACAAGAAAATTTGTATCACCAGTTTGGTCATACATTAGACATTTTAAGAAAAACTGAGTCCAGAAAAATAAAAACTACTTCTGATAATTTAAAATTGATGCCCTTAAATTCATTCTCATCAGTAAATAGGACTTCTTGGAAACCATAAAAAGATGAAGAAACAAATTTAAGTAATCACACTCTGCTATGGTATGCAAATAAACTCAAAGTAAGTTTAGGAATGTATAAATACACAAATTTAAATACACCAATTACCATGGAATATTTCCTATATTTTTCTATCTATGTCTTAAGGTATTTTTTACTTTTTTTCCCCCCTTTCGCCAAGATTACCCAAGGCAGTTTCAAAAAGCTTTTTCAACAATGATAAACTTTTTGGGGGGGTAATCGCCAGCCGTTTCCAGAGAAGTACTTTCGGTAGATGGTGGTCCTGCCTTTACCTGGTTTTTCTCGCAATCCCTTTGTGCACATTGTAAAATAAACCACATGAATGTGCCACCAAGGGGACAATGAAGAGAAACAGGTTCTCCGCCCTGAGTGCGGCAGGAAAAGTCAGCTCCCACTAGCGCCACCTAGCGGCTCTAGACACGAATGCGCACACTTGTCCCCAAACAGGGCTTGAGAAGTTTTCTAAAATTTCGGAATCGTTTCATGATAAACACACTCAACTTAGCAGCAGCACCTTTATATCAGAAAACACCCGCGAATCCAACCGCCGGAGGAAAAGGCCACCCTGAGAGCGAGCTCTGACTTGCGAAGAGTTTCCTCCAACTCGTGCTGGCGCCTGCCCGCCAACCCAGGCACCCGGGGCCGGCCTCCAGCTCCGGCTCTCCGGAGGGAAAAAAGAAAAGTGCTTCCCGGTGCAGGCGCTTGCAAAGCCTCGACTTTTCTAAGGCCTCCAAACGGCGCCGCGGGCCGGGACGCAGCCACCTCGGCGCGCAGCAGACCGGCTCGGAGCTGGGGTTCCTGCGGGTGGCGGGCGGCGCTGGCACCGGGGAGGCGCCCCCCGCGCGCCCGCAGCGCGCTCCGCTCGGCGCCCGCCTAGTCCAGCCTCCCCGCCGGCGCTGCCTCCCGAGGCGTCCCGCCGATGCCCGCCTCTCACCTCCTGCGTGTCCGCGTAGTAGCTGTTCCAGTCGTTGCTCTCATGCCCTTCCATCTTCACAGCCCCTAACATCCTGGAGCCACGCTGCCCTGTGCAACCATGCAGCCCTGTGCGCAGCGACGGGCGGCCGCGGGGCGGGGGGCAGGGGGCGGGGAGCCGGGAGCCGAGCAGTTGCAGCCACCGAGCGGCCGCGCCGGCCCTAACGCCACCCTAGCGAGGAGGAAGCCGGGCGCTGCGGGGCGCGGCGAGGGCGGCGCGGCGGGCGGGGGCAGGCGGCGGCCGCGGAGCGCGGCGCCCGGGAGCGCCTCCGCGGGAAGTGAGCGGGCGGCCTCTGCGAGACGAGTGCAGTTGAGCTGATGTGGATCTTACGTCGCTCGAGTGCCCACCTCCTCGTCCTCTCCCCATTTGTCCGCCGCACAAAGACGCTCGCACCTACAAAGCCCGAGGTGCACCTGCGAGGCGGCCGCCCGCCAGTCCAGCTGCCGCGCCTCCCGCTCCGCCGCGCCGCCGCCGCGCGCGCCCCTCCCGCCGCGCCCCCTCCCCCAAACCCGACCCTCACTTTGTTTGCAAAGCAGCGTAATTGGTTTAAACTGGAAGGCTGGGGGAGAGGGGAATCGGTGGGGGTGTAACCCCCTTTGGAAGAGGAAAAAAGGAAAATAGGCGGGGCCGGGCGGGCTGGTGTGCGTTCAGGATGGGAACACCGCAGCCAGAGAAGGGCTGGGGACGCGGGCGTCGGAGCCTGGGACCCGGGGGGCAGTGTCGGTAAATGACCCCGGCGGCCCTAACCGGGGGGGGGGGAAGGGGGCGGGGGGGAAACCACCGCCCTCCGGACGCTAGAGCTTCTGCCGGGTCCCTTGTCCCAATCGTTTCTCTTCCACCCTCCACCCTTCTGAAGCCTGACCTAAAGTTCAACCCAGGGAGCCTGGAGAATACATACTCCCCCCGCCCCCCACCTCCACCTCCCCAGGATTTCAGGCTTGAAAAAGGAAAACAGCCCACTTTTGCCCAGTCACTAGAAACTCGGCCGTCTGAGTCAGCCGAGGCGAGTGACGTTAGGCCGAGCTGGGCTCCTGGCTAGCAGAGTGGAGACGCTGCCACGAAACCAGTACCTGCGGCTAAAAGCAGGTGAGTCACAGCACCGTTTTATATCTTTATGACATAACATTTTTATTCCGCCTCGGTCCGCTCTACTCCTCTTGTCATCTGTTGGGATCAAAAAGAGGAAGAAACCGAGCACAGATGTCTGTGTGATAGGGCAGGCGGACCTCGTCGGGCCGTCCTCTCTCTGCCCGGCTCCTCCTCCCGCCCCCCTTCCGCAGCCTCCGGGAATGAGCTGGAGGCGACCGTCTGGTTTCTGATAGGAAAAGGTCAGGGGGAGGGGACATCTCCCTAAAAAACGCGCGTTACTTGGAGAGACTGGGCACCGGCGCGGGAATGCATCTGCTTGGCTAGAGTGGTGCCAGGCCGAAGGGAGCGGAGGTTGGCGGTGTTGCCTTGTGCCATCTCGGATCTGGAAGGCCGGGTTAGGACCCCTGGCGCCCCCTGGTTTGCATATCGGTCCTGGACCTCGGTGGGAAGAGCTCCCCCCCAAGCAAAGCCTCTAGGCTTCTATGTGGCACTGGGTGGTGGATTGTCCACAAGTTCTGGGGAGAAGGACCGACTGGGTGGTGTGCACTGAGTTGTTGGTAGATTGCGCGACGGTGCCTGTGCGTTTTTTAGTGAGTATGTGTATGTATGTGTGTGGCCATGTGTGTTGTCCCCTCTGTAAAACCACTAGGTTTCCTTAAGTAGCAATGACACAAAATCCTTCCAAAATGACTAAGAATCCGCGAAAAACACTTTTGTTTGGCGAAGTTGTTTTTAGTATTATTAATCTCATTTTAAGAAATGTGTTTTAACTTGTCTTCCAAACAGATACCTTTCCCCCTTGTACTTTGTTCCTTTAAATCTTTCTTCCTTGAAATCTGGCAACAGAATCACGTTAAATCTTTGAACTAAACAAATCTCTTAAGTCAGCAGGGGAGCACGAGAGGGTGAAGATGTGCAGTTAAGGAAATAAAAAAAAAGATAAAAGCATTGGATTACAATTCCTATTTTAACAAAAAAAAAGGGGGGGGGACTTTGCACTGTAAGGAAAGACATGAGAGTGAAATTAAATCCACCTGGAACTAAACGGAGGCAGCACCCCCACCCCCAACTTCAGCCTAGTCAGTCCCATCAGTTTGTGTAAATGTATCTGCAAAAGTGTGGGTCTGCACATATTTCTCAGTGCGACAGAGTCAGATACTAATTCTGTTGTGCAAAGTTCCCATCAGCACCAGGACCTTAATTCCGTTTGTAAAGTACACGGATGCTTAGCTTCCTGGGCCTGGTGGGGGGAGGGGAGGGGACTTTCATTGCTAATGAGCTTCCTCGTTCCCTCCCACGGTGAACATACAACACCCTCTTGGCTTTACTGCAACGTCGGAGCATGACTAGGGTGTTTTCTCTGGGCCGTAACAACTTAGCTTTTAGGGTGCACAAAAGTAGGTGTTTTAAGGGGGCAAAAAAAGTCACCTTAAAGGGGAGTCAATTAAAAATGAAAATATTCTTCCTTTTTTAGGCCACTTCCCAAATCTACTAGGTCTCATTTTTTTTTTTTAAGTTAACTTAAGGATTAAAAAGTCCACCGTTCATAGCGGAATGGCCAAAGTGAAGTTTCTCCAAAGCTTATTTAAGGTCCAAGACCGGCGCTGAAGAGTGGACTCTTACAGTTTAAGAGTCTGGATCCAGCTTGGGTGCTCTGGGGTGGGGGAGTGGGGAGGGACAGGCCGAGGAATTCCCGCGATCACAGCGCCTCCTGTCGTGGGAAAAGAACGTGGAGTCCTCTTGCAGCCCTTTAGCTTGGCCTAGGATAGGTTAGAACCGCGGCGACCATCGCCTGGGGAGACGAACCCCACGCGACTCGTACAGCCAGTGACTTCGGTTCATTGAGTTGACCGCCCCAGGCCGAGGAGAAGGAAAAGTAGCAGCTCGCTTAGCACCCAGGCTCTCTTCATCACAGGGGCGGTATTCCCGCCCACTTAACACATCCAGGAGATGAAAATAGTTATTCCCAAATTCCAGATGCCATCCAGCCAGTGTTTCCCGAGGTTTAAAAGTCTTCATTAAGCTGCTGTCTCCGGGCTGCTGGCCCGTGGCAGTCAGGTAACGTGACAGGTTGCTGCGGCCCGTGTTTCCCCAACTTCTTCTCACCAGATTGGCCCTCTCTTTCCGCTTTGCAAAAGACTGCGCTCTCGGGGGAACTAGACCTGTCTTCAGCCTTGCGGAGGCTGGGTGGACTCGAGGCCGAGAAACCACGAGGGCAGCCACGTGGCGGATTTTTGGGGTGTCCGGGCCAAACTCGCTTGGTGAGGACAAGTCTGCGCCAGCCAGGCGCGGTCCAGGTATCTGGGAGAGTGGGCTTCGCAGAAGCGGAAAACCGGGTGGTCAGGACAGTGGGCTGCGGGGGTGCTCCAGGTGGCCGGGGGCGGAGGAAGCGGCTCCACCCTTCCCGGAAGCTGAGCCGCCCGCGTCCTCACGGCCTGCTCCCCGCGCAGTGGGTGCCAGGAGCCGGCGGCGCAAGGTCCTCCAGCGAGACTCGGCCCCTCTGCTTCCTCTTCTCAGCATCATCGGGCTGGGTGCCCCTTCTGCAGGTCTTCCCGGAGCAGGGAGAAGCTGCCGGTGGCTGCGGAGACTGATAGAAGGAAAGGGCAGGGCGCGCGCCTCCGCGCATTCGGTTGTTTCTGGCGCGCCGGGTCCTTCCCCTTTCCTTGGACCTCGGGGTAGGCAGCGAGCGGGACCCAGGGGGACAGGGCCCCACGAAGCCTCCTGGCGCCTCCCAAGCACTTCCCTCCCCGGTTCTCCCTCCTTTGCCCACTTACCCCGCCGACCCTCCCTCCCACACACAAGGTTGTGTCTGGTCTCTGCCACCTGCGTCTTCTGAGATCTCCGCAGGCCCCCCACTCTCCAGGCAGATAAGAGCGTAAATCATCCGCCGGCGGGGGAGGCGCGGGGGTCCGGGGAAGAGGAGAATCCCATGCAACGATACTAAGGTTTGGTGTTGTCTTTCGTGCTGTTTAAAGACGATCCTGAGGATTGGGACGCGGGTCAGTTTAGGACTGAGGAAGGCCTAGGACACTGGGAACGACTGTTTTAATGACGTGTGCCAGGCCTTTGAGAGCCAAGGTGTGTGCCCAAGCTGGGGAAGGGGCCCGCGCACCTCGAGAAGGCACACCCCAGCGCCAGCCGTCAGATCTTGCCCACCAACGCGGGAGGCGCGGCCACCCAGGTCTTAGGGGTACACGGCCACCCTGACCAGAGCTCACGGGGCAGAGAAGGAAAACACGGGGCTGGGTCAGTGGCCCAGCTGCTTTACTTCTGTTTCTTTCCTTTTAATTTCCTCCCCATACCTTACTTCCCCTGCCCCTTCCATCTATCATTAAATTATTAATTGAGAAATTAATAAACATGGCCCAAGGACTCCTCCGCCTACTCCCTCCCCAAGCCCACATCTTAGGTAGACGCCCTGGAACCACGAACTCCCCCGGGCCAGCGGTTCCACGCGGAGGGTCTAAGGTACATCGCTGCGCCCCTGGCCTGGTGTTTGCGTGTGGATCTACACAAGTACACATCCATAGCTTCCACCTTATTAAAAAAAAAAAAGTGGCTTTTTTGGGTAATATTTTAGTCCCAATTATTTACCACTACTTGTCCTTTTCCCTACGGCGTCTGGACCCGCCGCCGGGTTTCCGAGCCGCGCAGACCGCAGGCCTCGCTCGCCCGTAGCCGGATGTCTGAGCCGGAGCTGCTCCCCACCCGGCCTCGCCCGCGGGCTGCAGAACCGTTCCTCTGGCGGCCAGCAAGCATCTCCTAGCCAAAATCAACTCGCATTTTCATGTATTCAAATGAGAAATGTTGGGAAGAAGGGCTGTCTTCCTGGGCAATCTCTAGTGGTGCAAGGAAGGAGCAAATGTCCCTACCGTGCCCCCAAAGAACGAAAACTTCACGCCCTGAAGGCTGGGTATAGGACAGGGCGCCCCCACCGACGCCTGGGTCCCGGAGGCGGCCACGGGTCTGCAGATTGCGTCCCCCCACCCTACTACTACTGTACCTACTACTGTACTCACAACGGTCAGTGCCAGCTCGTGCAGATGCCCAGTCCCAGCTGGGCTCCCCTCACCCTGCGCGCCCCTGGAG